TCCCCGGGCAACCTGGGGCAACGAAGGCGACAGAGCAGCGGAAGTAGGAAGCAACAGTGGCGTTCAGTTTTAAACGGCGTGGGGAAAGCGAGACATAAAAGCTAGCTGCGAATTTCCAAATGTCGTTACGCCCCGAGCCCCCGACCTGTCAGTGGCTACTTCCTCCTTTTGACTCGTGCGTCGATTGCTCCTTCTTGCAGACGATTTGGCTTGTGCCTCTAGCTCCTTCCTGTCTACTCCGTACTTCTCCGCCTTTCCCCTCAGTTTCTGGGCTCTCCACTGCCTTCATAGACTCCTCCTCATCCCTTTTGCTTCCTCTTCTTTTTCTTCTTTTAATTCTTAGTTTCCTTTCTTCTCCTCCCCTTTCTTCACCCCTTTCTCCGGACCATCACCTTGTTCTGCTGCGACCAAACCACCCTCAATCTTTTGTCGCTCGCACATCTTCCTTCTTTTTGCTCTTGTTCTCCTTTCACGCTCACGGCACCTCCACAGCCGTGCATAACCTCCCGCGTCTTGTCCGTCGGCAAAACGTCAGCCTCGCGCTCTCTCCACACAGTCTCACGTACCATCTCACTTCTTTTTCTCTCCGCCGTGTAATCAAACCACAACGCTGCCATGTCTCCTTCAGACGTCGCTGCCGCGATCGCGAAGCTCTCGCCGCCGCCACCTCCCGGCGCCCCGTACGCCGTCCCTGTCCCCAACAGCGCCACGCCCAACCGCTCGCCTGTGTACAGAAACTGGCGCTTCCGCGACTCGCCACTGCTCGAGACCCTCGACGCCAGCGTCGAGACCCTGCACGATGCCTTTGAGGAGTCCGTCAAGTACCGTGGCAACAAGCAGTTCCTTGGTTGGCGTCCGTGGAACCCGGCCACCAAGACATACGAGGATAAATTTGTCTGGATGACGTACAACGAAGCTGCGGAGCGCCGCAAGAACCTCGGTGCCGGTCTGGTCGAGATCCACAAGACGGCTGGCGTCACGGCCGACAAGTACCCCGTGGGCATCTGGTGCCAGAACCGCCCCGAGTGGCAGCTGACAGACCTTGCTGCCATGTCCCAATCCCTGTTTAACGTGTCGCTCTACGACACCCTTGGCCCCGACACGACCCAGTACATTATCAACCACTGCGAGCTCAACTGCGTCGTCTCCTCGCTGACCCACATCCCTGCCCTGCTGAAGCTCGCGCCCCGTGTCCCGTCACTCAAGATTATCGTGTCGATCGACGCCCTCGACGCCGGCGAGCCCGCGGGCCTCTCCAAGGGCGCCCTGCTCGCCAACATGGCCAGCGAGCACGGCATCAAGATCTACTCGTTGGCCGAGGTGGAGGAGATCGGCCTCCGCTCGGGCCGCGCCATGCGCCCGCCCACCAAGAACGACACGACCACCATCAACTACACCTCGGGCACGACCGGTGACCCCAAGGGCGTGGTGCTGACGCACCGCAGCATGCTGGCGGCCATTTCGTGCTCGCGCGCCTCGGGCTTCATGTCCCCCAACGACACGCACATCTCGTACCTGCCGCTAGCGCATATTTACGGCCGCATGTGCGACTGGTCTGCGATTGCCATGGGCGCCCGCATTGGCTACTTCCGCGGCGACATTGCTGGTCTTGTGGACGACATGAAGCTGCTGCGGCCCACGGGCTTGTTCTCGGTGCCCCGCCTGTACAACAAGTTCAACTCGGCGATCCGCACTGCGACGGTCGAGGCGGAGGGCTTCCGGGGTGCGCTCTCGCGGCGTGCCGTCGACGCCAAACTGGCCAACATGCGCCTGCCGCCCGGCCAGGCCACAAACTACCACGCGCTGTACGACCGCATCTGGTCGCCCAAGGTGCGCAAAGCCGTCGGCCTGGACCGTGCTGTGTCGATGGTGTCGGGCAGTGCCCAGCTCGACCCGGATGTGCAGACATTCCTGCGCGCGGCGTTCGGTAACAACTTTCTGCAGGGTTTCGGTATGACGGAGACGTGCGCCGTCGGTTCCGTGCAGACGCGTGGCGACATGTCGACGGGCAACATTGGCGGCCCGCAGGGCGGCTGCGAGTTCTGCATCGAGTCGGTGCCGGATCTGGAGTACACGGTCGACGACAAGCCGAACCCGCGCGGTGAGCTACTGGTGCGCGGCCCGATCCTGTTCAGCGAGTACTTCAAGAATCCCGAGGAGACGGCCCGCGTTGTGGATGCGCAGACGGGCTGGTTCCACACGGGCGACATTGTGGAGGTCAACGCGATGGGCCTGTTCAGCATCATCGACCGCAAGAAGAACGTGCTGAAGCTGGCGCAGGGCGAGTACGTGTCGCCGGAGCGGATCGAGAACGTGTACCTGGGCGCGTGCCCGCTGTTGGCGTCGGCGTTTGTGCACGGCGACCCGATCGAGGCGGCTCTTGTGGCGGTGTTTGGCGTGGATCCGGAGGCCTTCGCGCCGTTTGCCAGCAAGGTGCTGGGCGGCGACAAGACCTCGATTGCGGCTACGGACCGGGAGGCCCTGAAGAAGGCGGCGCAGGATCACCGGGTGCGTGCGGCGGTGCAGGCCATCATGGACGGCATTGGCAAGAAGCACAAGTTCAACGGATTCGAAAAGGTCCGCAACGTGTACCTGGATCTTGAGCCGTTCACGGTGGAGAACGATCTGCTGACGCCGACGCTCAAGCTGAAGCGTCCGCAGGCGGCGCGGGCGTTCCGCAAGGAGCTCGACCAGTTGTACGCCGAGTTGCGCGAACAGACCACGTCTAAGCCGAAGCTGTAAGGATGGCGTCTGCTGGGTCGTGGGGGTGGAAAATGGAGTGTTGTAGGCTGGGATTGATCTATATTGCTTGCGGTCGATCGTCAGCAGCGATTCATAATTTTTTTTTTTTTCCGGTGAGGGCTGAGTTCATTTTCTCATATACGCCGTTGTGTACATTTATATTGCCTTCTTGTCATTTTGGATTTATTTTGTCAGAAACACAAACCTGTTGTGGAGTTAATTCAAATGTAAATCGCAAGTTGAAATCAAAAAGAAAATGGGAGTGACCAAGACGTCAATGTTGGAACAGGGGGGAATAAATAAATAACAAGCGTGAGAATAGAACATCAATCGCCAAACCTCACGCTTCTCGCCTGCTACGATACAAACCTTGACGGTCAGGAAAGCAAAGTGGTCACAATGGTGGGCAGTAACGGTACGGATGATAGAGGCACCTGTGTCCAGATACAGATTGCTTGTCCCATTATCGTTATGCCTGACCATGGGGATCTTGGTCAAGAGAGATAGTTGGAAGATAAAAAGTTAACCAAAAGAAAGAAGCCGAAAAAGAAAAAGACAAAAAGAAAGATGTAGACCTTGAGACACTGAAATGATCCCACAAGAGGCAGGACGTTTTTCTTATATCGTAACAACTGGTCCCTCTTGCCAAGCCCTTTGGGTTATTTCTTCCGTCGGATCTCACGTCCACGACTCTCTCCAACACACTGGCAAACGAGCTTATATACGTAATACGACCAAGTACGGCTTACTCCGTACGTCGTAACAGACTCCCGAACCGCCGCATATTACAATACCCGTACTTTCGGCGGAGGTGTAACGTTCCGTAGGGCACATCTTCTGGGCGCTTCGTTATTCCGCGTGTCGTGAGACGTTGTTCTCATAGGCCCTTGTAGGCGCTGTAATCAGCACTAGAGCCATACATACGGCCTTCGCAGTTGCTAGCTCTTATGTATTACTATCTCATCTGGGGCCTCCACCAAAATCATCCTGTATTACTTTATCGTTCCACAATCACCTTGTATACTTGATGCTGTCTCGATTTCGTCCGAGGTGTGATACAGTCGGTTTTGAGACAAACAGTGCGTTGGCAGCGTGTGTTCGCATGGTTTTAATCTCACGGTTATGGGGTATTCTAAGGCTGTTCATTAGGGGACTGGCGGTGTTGGGGAAGTTGAAGTTGGGGCCCTCTGCGTTCGATTTACAGCGTCTAACTAGCATATCAAGCAAACCGTTTAGCGCTCAGCGGTCAACACTCGGTGCTGGTGTCGCAATTATTTGTCCTCTCTATCATTACTTAAGTGAAAGCGATAAGTAACTGGTACTTTAAGAACAGGTCACCTGATCACATTGGCTAGTTCAGATCTATTGTTTTGCCTGCTTAGAGAAGCTCAAACGTAAAACGAAAGTTGGACTATACTCTGAAGGTCCGGTTCGAATGGTAGAAAAGTGTCCGTCCGATATGTGGACCAGGCTTCGTTCTACTTTAACAAATAGCAGTGCCGGAGAAGCAAACGAGAACATAATATCGAAACCGCCACACCGTCACGAAGGACGCAACTATTGAGGCGTTTTTTACGCCGGCATGCTCACCTATTACGTTACTGCCTTGTTTGTCCCACTTACGACGAAAGCTTGCCAGAATTCACCTTGGCCTTATCATTTTGGGATTTCAAATTATTTCTTATTACAGGCCAATACAACGCTAATTAAATAAAGGACAAATTACACTTTAGCATCTACGCCACATATGCAGAAGCCTAACAGACGACTTGATGAGTGGATTTCCAAGTCTATCTAAGCCCTCTTTATAAATGACTTAATTCATTACGGAGCAGTCAGATATCATAGTTTTAACAATTTAATACTTTTTAATACAACTTAACTTTTAAAATACAAAACTTTACGTTAGCATTTCTCAGTTATTAAAAAGTTGTAAAATTATACATTAAATTAACGTTTGATCGGACTTTTGTTATTACATCCCGGTCCCACTTTAATAAGGCGGCTACGATGGTAACGTCTTCGAAATAATGTCGATTACGGCAGAGTGTGTCGTTTTATATCACATTTACTTTACTCGAGCACCTTAACTGTGGGTTTCCGACGTGCTTGAAACGGCCATTGCTACAACAACAAGTCGCCTGCAGAGCAGGACGGGCAGAGACAGTGATAAAAACCAGACGCGACAGGAGCTCTATTGCGGGCGGGCCAAACCCCTCGACCCGCCCCTTGTATGAGTCGTCTGGTTGTCGTTGACAATGGCGTGGCCAAACCACGCAACAAACAGTCAACAGTTTAACACCCATGGCAGCATCAATGGCAATAGCGCTGGCAATAACGCTGGCAGCAGCACCAGAAAAACCAATAGCAATGGCGCCTTTCATAGTAGGCAGACCAGCGGAAGCCGTATCACCAACGACATAACTCTGGCCACGGAGCTCACAGGGTCCGCCGTCATAGCCAGCCCGCCTTCCAGCCAACTGTCTATCGACAACAGTACCGGACGGCCGGCTTTCAAAAACCCGTTGGGCGCTTGGAAGTCGCCGTCACCGCCGGCGAAACGTCAGAAGACGACGGGGCACCCTAGGTCAGCAGCGGCAGCAACAACACCTATATCGGCCTCGATAGGAGTTGGAGGCGACCTCCAGCCCCCGTCTTCACAACCATATTCCCAGTCGTCCCCTCTATCGTTCCCGCAAAAGTCGCCACAGCCACTGTTGCACAAACCAAAGAGCCCAGGCACGTTTTCGCACGGCCAGCCGACACCGGGCGCGACGTCAACACCGGCACGTGCCCCGGCGCAAACGCCAATACGGCCGCCAGTGCGGCCCGTGGACTCGGCGAGCACTGCGGCCAAACGACGCACCTCTGCCCCCGTCAAAGTGCGGGAAGCTACGGAAGACAACCGGATTGTTCTCATCATTGATAGCGACGACGATGGCGATGAAAATGACAACGATCGTGTCGGCGCCAGAAACAAAGGCCCGACTCCTGTCCCGGTTCCGGCCGTTCCTACCGTTCAGACGAGTGCCCTTCCAAAACACGTGCGTCTCCTTTGCCCCTTTGTTTGTTTGCGTTCGTCACATTATTCACTTTATATACTCTCGCGGTTGTCGCTCCTTCCTCGACACGTTTTCATATACCGTGTTTTTATTTATTATCTCTCCTTTTAACATTCACTAACACGTCTTAGCCTTCAATCCCTCCCGTCACGCCCATACCTCTTCCCCTTTACGGCCGCCTGTCAGGCTCGTCAAGTGCAACCAAAACGGCAGGTGCGAGGCCAAGCGTCCCGCCGAGAGTTACGCCCATCGCGCCTCCCCAGTTCATGATGCACACTGCGAACGCAACTACCTCGCGGCCAGTAAAAAGCCCATTTGAACCCACCCTTGTCAAACGGCGTCCATCGGACGAGAGTATCAACAACAACATCAACGGCAAACGTCACAACACCCCCGAGGCACGGCCAACCGCAAGCCAGGGGGCCTCTTTTTCCCCCGCAACGCCTATACCAGTGACGCCCGTGAAGCCTGCCACGACGACTGGCCCAACAACGTACGGGGCGCCAGCACCGGCCCCGCCGCCGTCTGCCATTGCAGCCTACGTCCCGTCGGACATTACCAGCCCTGTCATCCACCGCCATGAGCCACGTTCGACGAGGAAGCCCATCGAGGAGCACCTTGAGCCGGCCGTCAACGTCGACATAACACCGGTAAAGTCGACTACGCCTACGCTATTGTCTCGGAAGCAGTCGAAAGGCCAACGCAAAGGCCAGCAACCAAAGACGCACCAGCACTTTGTTCGCTACGCATACCTGACTCACCGCCCCTACCTGCGCTCGTCCCACCGCCGCTTCGTGGCACAAAACTACCACGAACTACCGAACCTGTTTGGTTTACCTCGGACTACCCAGCAGAGAGGACAATCCACCGCCGCCGCCGCTGCCGATCCTTCTTCTTTTCAGTCACCTTCTCCATCCGTTGTCATTCACGTTGATTTCTTGCCAGATGAAATCCACCATCTACTTGACGTCGTCCGCTTCGTCCACTCTAACGCCGGCGTGGGCGTGGGCGTGGGCGTGGGCGTGGGCGTGGGCAGGTCGTCAAAACAATCTGCTGGCCAGAAACACTCGTCTGCGGAGCGAGAGCTGAAGAGTTTGTTGCGCCGCCAGCCACCCGAGTTTGAGCTGCTCGTTGTAAACAGCACCACGCCTGCTCGCCTTCCAGGACGTAGTCAAAAGGACATCTTTAGCTTTCTGATCGATGCCCGCGCTGGCAGCATCAACTATAACGACGGTAGCGGTGGAAGTGTTAGTAGCAACAGTAGCTACAGCAGTAACAAGAGCCGAAGCAATCTCTCTAACGCAGAAGCACTGGCTCCGGCTCTGGGCGGACCGTCCGTATTGGTCATGAAACGCAGCGACCGTGCTGCCTCCTCACTACAGGAAGCACGGGCGGAGCGTGCCACAAAGCTCAATACATTCATCATGATGCGTGAAGTGGCCGGCCAGCGGCCCGTCCAAGGCCGCTCGCGCCAGCTGCTCAACTTTACCAACGCGGTCCGCACCGTCCGCGAGGACGGCTTACGCCTGCGAAACGAGTGGACCAACCTCGCCGGCGATGTCTCGACTGTCTCGTGGACCTCAAAAGACGCCTTCATCTGCGGCACCACCACCCACATGGACGAACGAAACCACCAATACAACCGCCAGGGCAACCTTGCTCTGGGCTCGGTCAGCGCTGGTACCCTCCGTGGCTACCCGGACCACCGCATCGTCCGAACCCGTGTCATAACAAATTTAACGAACCCTACGAACCCGACACAACAACTACAGTCCGGCGCCGACGATCCGTGGCTGTACACCTCCGTCGTCTCGTCCGACTATGATGCCACCCATGATTTGGCCTTCACATCCGGCTTCGACAACAACGTTGTCGTGTGGAAGGTGAGCAAGGACGGTACCTCCATGGCCCGCCAGGGCATCTGGCGGCACGAAGGCAAGGTCAACTTCGTCGTTGCCTCCAGCGGTATACACTGTCTTGTGGCCACCGCCGCCGACGTCCCCGTCCAAGCCGTGCGCGTCTACCGCCTGCCTAGCGTGCAGGAGCGCATACAAGGCAACCGCCAAATCTCCTATAAGATGCTCTCGTGCTCGCGCATCGTTGACCTCGAGGGCCGCCCCGTCCTCACCGACAAGTGGGCCTACTTCCCTGCCGCGATCCGCTGGGGTCTGTCCGAGACCACACGCCACCTGCTGCTGGTCGGCTACTCCCCCCGCGGCCTCGACATCAACGCCGAGGACGATGACATTCCTGAAGATCGCCGAAATTCTGGCGAGCTTTGTCTGTGGGACGGCCTAACAGGCGAGCCCTGGCGCATCCTCGGCGCCAGCTCCCAAAACGTCTTTGAGGTCGCCTGGCACCCCACCCAGGCCTGCTTCGTCGCCGCCACCGCGCCCACCGTGCACCAGGCCCTCGAGCAAAACGCCCGCACCCAGATCCGCGTTTTCCGGCTGTCTGTCAACAGTGAGTATGGCGGGCGCGCCTACAGCGAGGTCCAGACGCTCGACTGCTACGCCGACGACATCAACGAGCTGGCCCTACGGCCCAACAGTTTTGGTTTCCTGTATGTCGCCGCCGGCTGCACCAACGGCCACACCTATGTCTGGGACACGTCGCAGGGCGACTACCCCATCTACGACCTAGGCCACAACGCGTGCATCGAAGAGCAGGCGGGCGAAAAGATCTCCGTCGAGGACACCGGCGTCAAGTTTGTTGCCTGGGGCGAGACCCCAGACCGGCTGTACACGGGCTCGTCGGACGGGGCAGTCAAAGTGTGGAACATTCGCACACATGGCGGCTCACGACTGTCGCCGTTTGTGCGCAACCTCTTGCAGTGCCCGGCACCCGTCTCGTTTGGCGCCTTCTCGCCCGACAAGTCCAAGCTCGCTATTGGCGACGCCAGTGGCCGCGTCTCCCTCCTGTCCGTCGAAGACGGTATGGAGGAGGACGACGAGGACGGTAGTTTCTTGAGTGACGAAGAAGAACAAGAAGACGATGTTGCTGGGACAGAGAAGACGCCCCAAGGTACCCGTGTCAATGGCAACCTCCAGCGCAGCCATCCTGCCCATCTAGCGTTCAAGCACCACCCGCCTGAAGTCATACGCCATGCGACTCCTCCGCCACCATCATCGCCTCCGCCGACCGCAGGGCAAAACCCCCTACAGCAGACTCCACCATCCGCCGCCACTATCACTTCCACTACCAGTGCTGCCAATGGCGATGTGGACGACGAAAACGTTGCCATTGCGACAGCCCGGGCTTTCCTGTCCTCGGGGCAACTTGTCATCGTGCCCGACCCCACCGTTGGCGCCGTCAAGGGCCCGAACTACGCCGACACCAATCTGTTTTGTACCGAGTGCCACCGGGACAAACGGCCCGAGCTGCCCTTGCTGGCCGAGTACGAGCGTGTCCAGCAGGAAAACCAGCCACGCGCCAACACGTCCCCCTCCCGGCAGCGAGCCTTGCGCAGTGTCTATCCGGACGTGGCGCCGGCCACCATATTCGGTTCCTCTGCCTCCGGTGTGTCCGTCCTCGGCGCCCCGGACCCATTGCAGGCCCTGCAGCGACAAAATACCATCCGTCGCGTCCAGGTGCTGCACGCCAGAAATACAGCGTGCGACCTTGATGTCAACAGCCTGCCCGTCGAGACCCGCGAGGCCCTTGAGCTGGCGGACCGCGCCGCGCTGCTTCACATTGATGACAACGACTACGACTACGGCTTTGACTATGAAGAGGTGCCGGACACTGTTTGAGTGCGTGTGATGCGTGCCACGATATCGCATTCTATGTAACAATACGCCTATGCTTTTGCCGTTTATATCTATACCCATTTCCGTTGCAATTCTTTCGGTTCTTTCTCTCTGTTTTGTTTTCTTGCACATAAATGATAATATGCCTTACGATAGCCATTGCATTTCGATAAAAAATCAAAAAGTGAACATCCAAAACACCTACTGTTTTTCGTCTGACCACCTTGCCTTTGTGTGGTGACAAATGACGACCCTTTCCTCGCACTGTCTTTCTTCTAACCCTGTAACCCGAGCCATTTCTTGGCCAAGGCAGTCACACTGGTAACCAGCCAACTACAGGAATGCCCTGCGAATCAAGGCAGCAGTGGAGGCTTTGCCCGTTGAAGGTAGGGGTGTACTGGTGTGCTGATGTACCGATGTGCTGGATGTAAGACACGCCGCGAGTTGTGCAAGCCTTGACTGTGTGACCACGACGAACAGTGAAAGGTAAGATGAGACTGGTGCGATACGAGGGGATCTTGGGGGAACGAAAGGTTCTTGGCAGAAGACGTGACAAATTATCAACAGTCATCCGTACAGTTTCATGCTGTCGTTCTTCTTGGCTGCGTGACGTTTCCTCTGACGAGGTAATCCATCGTACGCTCCCCTTGGCTGTCTCGCCTTCTCTCATTCATTTGCTGTTGGACGGATCGGACTCGTCCCGGCAACAGAGGAGGGCCTTGTCCTTGCATGGGGTAGGTGCCAAGGAAATTCATATATCTGAAATACGTTTTCATCCCAAAACATGTATGATCCTTTCTGGAAGCCACCTGGGAACGCTCTGGTTGCATCCGTACAATGGTCAGCAAAATGCCTTGCTTTACAGACAGGCTAGCAAATACGACTACCGGGGCGTCTGACGTGTAGACAAAAGAACAACGTATCAGGCCGCCACGTCGGTAGCGTCGGGTCGATCTCTGTCCGACTCGCACGGCGGTCCTCCGGCCTGCCAAGAATTTGGCGAAACGGATTGTACCCTCGTTGTGGCCTCACGGCCAGCGCATGTGCCCCCATGTTAAATGACCGGCGGTTCTCTTTATCAGAAGTTCTTTGCCCGTGTTGTGTAGATCGTCTATTCCGTGTGTCTATTTACAGCACATGACAAAACGGTTCGCCCTGCCCCAGCCTCTTTCCCCCATCTTCCCCTTTCTCCCCCCTGTCTTGGCGTTGATGATTTACATCTTGGGTTGTCTTGTCCTTGCCGAGTCACTGTTGTGACAAAACAAAGAAAGGGATACAAACGACAAGAGGGGGATCAATTTGGCTTTCTTGTGTCGACTTGCATGCGCCAAGACGATAACAAATGTAGAGGCAGAGAGGGTCTCGCCCGAGTACAGATAGTATCACCGTCAGAGGCGGAAATGCAGTCTTGGCTCGTCGATCATTTTTCTTTTCTCACTACCCAGCCTTGCCTTGCCTCGCGAGTGCCGGTCACCAATGGCGCCAGCCTGTCGGGGATGCTGGCACAGCCTCGTTTTGTTTTCATGGCCGTGTTCCTGCTTCGTCTTGTCTTGGTCTCCCTTATGCCGTTGCCCTTTCTTGGTATTCTTTCTTTTGTTCCACCTCTTATCTATGGAGAGCCTGTCATTTGTGGTCTCGCTTTGTAAAACATAGACGAACGGCTTGATGTTCCGACATCGTAGATGCCATCATTTCACGAGATCATCCCCTTCGGCCTTGGTATCTCTGTCATTCGTCTGCCAAGTCTCCGTGTTTGAGCGTCTAGATGTATTTCTTTGTGGATAAATATACACACATATATAATGTATATTTATTTACTTGTCTATTGTTTGTTTTTATGTGATTTTGTCGGCTCCAATATTTAAACATGTTCGCATCAAATATTTCTGGCGGGATATTCTCAAACAGGACATGAAATAATCACAAAAATTAAAAGTCGATTTATACCCAAAACACCATCAAAACCATAACTAGCCGTGTCACTGTAGATTCCCGGCGCTCCAAGATGAACATTGCGGTATGAGGTATTACACGTGTGTTTATGAAACAACATCCGTGAACCGGAAAATCAACAGGTGATGTTCCTTTTCTTTTCTACCGTGCCGAGACCCACAACCTGTACGGATGGAAACGCCTGGTCCCATCCCTTTCCTCCTCCCTTGGCCAGAATGGCATTTCACAGAGAATACCATGTTATTTCTCCGCAGGGCGTACATCAGCCGGAGAAAAAACAAATACAAAAAAAACAGCAAGGCTGGGACTATCCAGTCTGACAGGCACCCTATTGGCTGCTGTGCTCTCTGACATACCCTGGTATTCCTAGTATATTATGCCGAGAAGGATACGCACCCAAAATATGGCAGCCAATATCCCCTATTACTGGGTATTCTTGGCGACGCCCATCATTGCCTCTGTGAAGTGAGAGACAGGCGATCTGTTTCCTATTTACTTCCCTCTTGTTGTGCCCGGTCACATCAATGGCATCTGGGTTAGAAGCTGTCGTCTGCTGCACACGTCCACCGACGCGCACGCTCCAGTAATTTGCTCTGTAAAGCGTTGCGATACCCTGTGCGCACTTGAAATCTCACAAATACAGCACGGATGACACCGTGCTCCCTGTATGGGTGAATGCACCACTACGTAGAACATACCGTCTTACAACGAGAGTGTTACGGAATATTCCCGCAGGGAACGACATGGACGGACGTCAAGGTGCCAATAGGCTTGGTTCAGGTGTCGCGTCCCTCGTCGTGAGCACGTCCTCTCTGGAAATACAGAGTAACACGTCGTACGCTCAGGCTCAAACCCTCGAACCGTTTCCATATGAACATCGACAGCAAAGTTGTACGTACGCTCACTCTTAGGTAGCTTATCAGGATCCTCGAGCCCCCGGTTCGTAGATAGATATTATCTTGGTGCCGTTTCTCCCTTGTTTGTTCCAACTGGGTGCACGGCTCTGTTTATCATCCGCACACAGTGTTTGATCCCTCCATCAGTTCGGATGAAAGAAGTTCTCTCTGATTTGTCCCTTGAGGACAAGGAAAAGAAGGAAGAAAACGTCCCGTGCACACAGCAACCAACAAGACCACCGTTTCAAATGCGTGGACTTGGGCCGAGCTGATATTGGACGGCTGTTTCATGAAACAAAAATTAGTCAATAATACGGTAGTTTACAATAGTACAACATAGTCGTAGACGGTTTCTTCCTAGCACTCCTAACCCAGTTGCAGCCCAATCCGAGTGCGCCCATGGTATGGTTACTGACCCCCCTGTCTGCTTTCATTTTGCAGTCTCCCACACTGTTCACTGTTCACTGTTCACTTTGTTGCTCGAAGCTGAAAAGACGCCATGGCTAAATAAGGACAACAGAGGCTTGACAGACGCAACCTACCAGAGTTTAGGGCGGTTTTGGATCGCAAAGGTAAACAACATCCAAGCCAAGGGCGCTTCCTTTGAGAAGACCACCATCGTTCGATATGACGATGCGCGTTCCTCACTGACAGAGAAAGCCCAAACGAGGCAAGGCGGCTCGCTGCATTTCTCAGACATCATACCACGGGAACGTCATGTGAATGGGACCTGTCTGAGATTATGAGTGTTCAACATAGCCATCCACAAATATCCGTAGCCATCCGCGGCCTATTCTTGCTATCTGTGGTTACGACGTTTCATGGCTCGACCTGTCCTTATCACGTTTCGATAATGCCACTTCCAGGAATAGACGCAGTGCCACATAGTCACCAACGTCGCACGCGCTTCTTGCTTCCCTTTTCTCTTCTAACCTCCCACCTCTTCGTGGCTGGTCTGATTTATTTGTTTTTCAACTGTCTCCTTATTACGGCTCCCCGCCGCAGTAGCTTCTGCACCTCTGCAAGGTACCCTTTGACTCCAGCTTCAAAGCTTCGTTCCGTCCAGAGGAGCCTCGCGTAGGGAAACGACAAAGTGGAGCAACAAGACCGGATTCATTCTTTCCTGATGTGGCATGGCTTGGCGCGCCTTTAAATTTCGAAACATTTCCGTGAATTATTTCGTGGCTTGTCTGCTTGTTTTCTTCGATACCGTCGTCATTTCTGCTCGAGGACCCCCTTTTCTTTCGTAGCTTGGGACCTTGGACTAGAGAGCAACTGCAAAGCGGCCCTTTGCAGCACCGACAGTGCATAAGTGTTGCGGATCTCGAGGAGATTGCTTGTGGACAGTAAGCGGAGCACAGTTTGGAGACGCCTATTGATGACGACCTACGCAGTCCTGAGACGCAAGAAGCAATGAGGTAGAAAAGACGTTCAAACAGGTGACGCGAGACGCGTCAATGCCACCAAGCCGCAGAGAGCCACACTGACAAGATGCGCTGGACAAGGGTCTGTCCCCTGTCAGCTACGGTGCTATGGAACGCGGTTTGATCGAAATTGACGAGAAATGATCCGCGCGCTGGCGATCGACCGCCCGTTCCTCCGCTGGTCTGAGCGTTCTTTATTTTGCTTGTGTTGTTCTCCCAGTTGCCATCTTTGTTGCACTCAATTGCCGAGGGCTTACCAAGCAGTTTTCAATTGGACCGGGTACATCAGGCAGTTGAATCGCCAAGTTTTGATATTGACTGAGCTTGACAGTGAAACGGAACGACTGGGCTGACGATTGTGGATTATCGACATAGCTCAGGCTGGGTTGCTCTTGCCCCGTGTGCTCCTGCCTTCTCTACGATCCGCCGTACATACCGAAAATGGTCTTGAGAAATACGACGTGGAGAGCAAGCGAAGCGAGGCAGGCACAAGAGACGGAAAGAGCGGACATGGTTGACAGCAAAAACGACAAAGTACCATGGTCCCACCAAAACGGCTCAAGAAACGGGTACAGGAGCATACTTTTATTTCGAAACACGTCGTCCAGAGAGGCCGAATTTTCAGGACCTCTTGTCCATACTCCGTACATCGTCTGGACAAAAAAAAATTGGTCGTGTGCCCCTACTGCCCGTCCTGCACGAAGCGTTCATGTGCGGCAAAGTGAAAGCA